GCAAATCAACCACCCAGCAGACATTTCAGTTACCTCAACATTAGGGAATTATAAGCTTGAAAGAACATTCTTCATCTTGTGAGAAGTCTGAAATCGTCACCCAAGCCTTTAAGGTGAACGGCCAAAAGCCCCTCAGGACAAAAACCCTTTGGTACAAAAGCCCCTCGACCAAAAGCCCCTCTAGACAATAGCCCCTTCGTTAATTTGAGCACCCCTGGCAAACGCCCCTCGATTCATGTATTTCATAATAAAACACTTGTTTCAAATATTTCATAATAATACTTGACAAACAAACATTTCTCATAGCCAATCTCAGGCTTTCCCAAGGAGGAAATGGGTATATGGTTTATCATATCATGTCATTTATAATTCTTGTTGATTTGTTCTTATTTGTTTGATATATATATATTTCTTATTCTCTACAATTATTTGCTAATTAGATATTAATGTATATAGTATTTAGGGTCATTATATCATCAAGCAATACAATGTACCATGTTGTTAATCATTTCTTGTCTTTAATCATATTTTCCCATTAATACGTAAAGTGAGGGGCTTTTTGTCATTTTTCGAGGGGTTTTTTTTTGTCCTGAGGGGCTTTTGGTCGTGGGGCTTTTGTATTAAGGGGCTTTTGTCCTGTGGGGCTTTTGACCTAGACCCGCCTTTAAATGCCTCGACTCGTCTCAGCCGAAGTTGTACAATACATATCTTAAAGTGAACAAAATGTGTCTTTTGCACTCAATATTTGATATAAGACAAGATTGTAGACACCCCCAGGACTGAGAGTAAGTGTACATTGATCCTCGTGTTTGGTGATCATTTAACTCCGGGATCATTCACATGGTGAATTACCTCCTACCCATTACACTTGGACATTCTATTGTCCTATAGGGAGATCGCTTACCATTTAAGACCAAAGTATGATAAAAAAGACATTTTATTAATTTTACACTCCAAATGGATGAAACGTTGATAATTTATATCTGTTAAAGTGCTCATTGCTGAGAAGGAAAGAGTTAAATATATGTATATTCTCTCTATTTATTACATGTGGTAATATTAGGATGACGTCATATAATGAAAATTACAGTGACGTCATAGTTAACAATGTCATACTACGTTGCTGCATATCTCCCATTCTAAGATGCTTCTGTGAAAGATCAAAGGTGCCGACAGTACTTTATCAGACGTTAATGTGCACTTTTTGCATTACGTCACAATGTAATGGCGTCACTGCGCCATTCTAGTCTGCCCCTCGTAATCGAACAATTTTGCATTACGTCACAATGTATAATAGTTCAGGTCGAAAGCGAACTGTATTTTTTAATTTGCCTTGTTTTTCGCGACTGATTATAACTGGTAACAGCCATTTTTGTTTCCATTTAACAAATTGCATGCTTTTCATTCATTTTATCCCTGAAAATGTCTGCGCATCTTTCAAGCTCTATTTCTTAGTCGTATACTTATGGCAGTTCGAACATGGCGATTTCATCGGGACAAGTCTACGTTTGTGTAGTTGTGGTAACCCGCTGCTCCCTATTAAAGATTTTGATTTTGGCTTTTCATTCACTTCACAATGCATGCTACATCCTGTTCCAAAGGTGTTCCAAAAATTCTTAAAGGAGGAATTGTTTAATATAAATGTCAAACCAAATAATACTAAGCAAGAACGTTTATGTTTGTGCAACGGAAAACCATAATACACCAGCAACTATGAGCCTGCACAGAGACCATACATCGGTAAATGGTCTCTGGCTTGCAGGATGTCATTCCTGATTTTGTCACTTTCAGGGGTATTGGGGTAGCCTAGTGGTTAAAGCGTTCGCTCGTCACGCCGAATACCTGGGTTCCGGGACACCGGAAATGGGCTTCACACATTGTACCCATGTGGGGAATCGAACCCAGGTCTTCGGCCTGACGAGCGAACGCTTTAACCACTAGGCTACCCCACCTCCCTCAAGATCGCTGAGGCTCATAACATCTACTGCAGGTTGTAACGTGTGCTCATTGTTTTTATTATTGTCCTATAATTCTTGATAAAAACGCATATCTCTTACAATTTTATTTAAATGTTAACTTATTATACTGTTAATTATGTTTCTGATCATGTCTTGTTTTTCAAGAGTATGTAACTGAAATAATGTTCAAATCGGATTTAACCTAAATGTATCTCTTACTGGCAAGACGCCTGAATTAATGTGTAAGCAGAGTCTCATCTTGACTTCGGCTCTAAGATAACACGTGCCCCCGAGATAGGTGAGGTTGCGGCGTAAATGGATCACAACTGTAAACTTACAGACATCAAGATAGTCGATATGCCTGTACAATGTGTTGCCACCGACCTGACAATCTGTACAGTACAAAGTGTTTTATTGATAACATATTTCACGTGTATGTTTGGTTAGGTATAACACGTGTTGCAGGAATCAATGCGGTGATCACTTCTCAAGGACAATGTTCTACGTAACGGCTGCCTTATACATGAAATGTTTCTCTGAAAATTCAAAACTGATCGATGACCTTGTAGTAAACACGTCAACTTCAAAACATATAACTGCGTCTGTCACACAAACAGATGTAGACAATCAGTGACGTCATCCATCTCAGTGATGCAACATATAACTGCGTATGTCATTGTTAACACAAACAGATGTAGACAACGGATTGTAGGACAAAACCCCTGTGCACAAAAGCCCCATGGGACAAAAACCCCTTGGACAAAAGCCCCCTAGGACAAAAACCCATTAGGACAAAAAAAACAAATGAAGACCTGTGGACAAAACCCCCAAACATGTTTTAACTACTGAGTGATTGGCTTAAGTGACATGATTTTATTGAATCAGTAATAGAGATTATCAGGGATAGGGATTAACAGGCTTCCTTAATTAACTTAGTATTTTGTTTGTAAACAGTATTGAGGATGAAGCTTCATTATTGATTAGGATTAACTGACTTCAAGAATATTAAAAGCTTAATTAATCAACTTAGTATTTAGATATGTACACATTATTAAGTATTTCAACTCACTGTCAACTCACTGTCATATTACAACTGGTATAAATACATGCTCCATAAACTAAGCAGACAGTAGCATTCCAGTTTGTGCTAGTGCTCATAATGTATGTGATGTCGGCTGAAAAAATATTTGACTGATAAACAATCTTCATTATTCATTTGGAGCTTTGGGGTTTTTTTGTCCTACATGGTGGGGTTTTTGTCCTAGGGGGCTTTTGTCCTAGGATTTTTTTGTCCGCACACCAGACAGCTGTACGGAATCAGTGACGTCATCCATCTCAGTGATGCAACACAAGCGACGCCCATCCCAATATCAGTCAGTCAAAGACTGTAGTACGACCGTGGTTATGTTAGTGTGTTAGCGTGGTATATTTTTGTGCTTTAATCACATTTTACGCGTTTCATATTTTTCTTATGTATTTATATGTTAAACTTCTTTTCACAAATCAATTTTCAGGAGACAGCAGATTCTTAAGACCAAATCCCGGCCTTATAACTACCATTATACTTTGTGATAACAACGAACGTCTGATAGTACTCTATAGGCTTTTTTTCTGTTTGGAAGTCACTCTGTATTTAAACACGCCGCTGGACATGAAATGACGAGGCCTTGTGATTCCGAGAAAGGGTTGTATCCTCCCTAGGAGTGATCACTCGTGGTCGACCAGAACGCTGACGTTCCTTAACGTTATTAGTTAGCTGATGTTTTCTGGCCAATCAGCTGATAGACGAAGGATGGCAACCAACATCTCTTGCAATAGCTCTCAATAACATGTCAGCATTCCGCATACTAATAACTTACCATCTTTGAGCAATGAGCAGTTGTCAGTTGAGGAGGCCCACATACTTTGTATCAACGACGAAATAAATTGATTTTTCAAGTTATCGAGTTATAAAAACACTTTACTGAAACTTGATATTTGCTTATTTATGACGAGAACACGTATTGCACGTGATGCTCGATTTTGATCGTAGCACGTTCATATCTAACATCAATCTATCCCCTAAAGGTTAAAACAATAATACAAACAGACATGATTATAATATGAACATAAATGGCTATGACGGTTATAAATCACAGGTGTCGCGATACTTTTGTCCATGTGTATACTTCACGATATCCTCCAAATGTGATATATCACCATGTGGGAATATTCCCTGGGCCCATTCCCGAATCCCGAAACATATGACCCGTACAATCGAACCTGATATTTCCAATGATACACTTTTTCTTAGCTATATAGGTGCATACTGTGGTCATGTTTCGGAAAATGGGTTTCACGCCAATGGCAGTAATGAGCGTAGGTGAGTTGAGTCAAACGCTGCCTCAAATATTCTTTAAACTTTATGGTGAGGAACACCAGCTATGGGCTTCATACATGTACCCATATTGGGAATCGAACCAATGTCTGACGACTAACCACCGGCTATAGGCAACTCCACCACCCTTCTGCCATCACACATTTACGAAACAAAAAATGCAACAAAATTAGTTAGATATGCATCTTTATTTTGTCAAAGTAAGGGGAGACAACCCCGGCCTGAGGATGGAATGTACATCAACCTGTTTCTCTCATAACACGGCAAATATCGAACATACTGTGCCTCATGAAACGAGGGTCAACTCCAGATATGTGGATTTCGTCGTATATGTATAGTTAGATCAAGCTTATGTTATTTGAGAAACAGACACAATGTTATTTGGAAGTGGAGAGGAAGATGCCCTTTCCACCTTGGCGATGAGCATGATGGTTTACATCTCAAACAAGCATTCTCCATATGTCAACAATCAGCAGTTAACGGTATCAGCAGTATGACCATTCATTAAGGCGAATAGAGTCAACAACGTCTCAAAATAGTTCTTATAAAATAGACATAAAACAAAAAAACTTCAGTCAGAATCAGCAGTTTGGTATGTCTGTTGTCGAGGTCGACAAAGGCAGTGAGGTCCTTCTTCCAAATCTAAAGTTCCAATCCACGCTTACCGAAGTGAAGCCATCCATTCCGTCCAAACCTCATGAAGCGTTTTTCTAAATCGCCGACCCTCTCACTCAGAGCTTCATAATCAGCAAGCGGTCGGAGTCGAGGAACTTGGAAATCGTCAGTGGCATCTTCAGATCTTTTCATTGCGTCAGCAGATGCCACAGACGGTTCCTGCACCGACCGACGTTGACGACTGTGAGCGTTGTCGTTGGCCGTTGTTTCGTCCACTGTATCACGCTTACGTCGGTATTGCAAACCATTGTTGCTGGGGGCACCTCGGAGTAGTATGGATTTGAGCATGTCTTCTCCGGGGTCTGAGCGGCCGAACCTTAGGTAGGCTTTGTCCTCGTAGGAGTCGAAACGTTTGTCGATGGTATCTTCCAGACCGGATGTGCCACCTCGACCAAAGCGTAGGAACGGCTCACCGAAATTACGTCCAAACCTGAGGAAGCGTTTATTGAACCGTACGTTGTGATCTGAAACAGGGGAAGGAGAGTTATTTTACAATTTCAATTTGATTGTAACATTCAAAGAGATAAATGAAAACTATTTACTATGTGGTATGGTGGAGTAATGCACTCTGAAACAAGGTCCCAAGTGTAATACAATGTACATATAATATGCAGCGAGGGCATGATGGCGGTGTGCTGTATTTAGATGAAGGAATCAAGGGTTCTCCCCATTTGCATTGTAAAGTATGGGATCCATCTATGAGATTTCAGCTCTGTTGCAACGCGCACCTGCCATGTTACTGATATCAAGGAGCTGGATGTATGTCTAATTAACTCTCAGGGAAAATATGTTAAAGAAATACAAGGACGATACATCCCAAATGTCACTGTGACCATGCCCCGAAAAAATAAAAATATAAAATAACAGCAGGTATTACAAGGTTAAACTCGGCCACTTTAAGTTTACCTTGTTGTACACAAAATGATTAAAGTATTAATTTCTGACATAAAACATCACGTGGATCAGTTACCTGCAAGCAGGGAGATTAATGGTTTAGAAACGTTAATAACTACACTGCAATTATCTCGTGTAGTAAGATATCGATTTACGATCCCACCAGAATGTATACATTAAATGTTGGCAGCGGACAAGGCGGAGCGCTGATCATGCATTTAATTCTCCCTTTAACCACATGCCGCCATCACACAATAGACCCTCTCAAACACCTGGTACTCACATGTATACGTACAAGGAATCTAGTAAAATCTAAATATCGACAAGAACAGCTGGTATGTACATTCTGATGTGTCGGTGAATATAAACATTGGTTGTAGATTTCAACGATAGAAAAGTACTAAGGTCATGAAAATGTCCACGGAGACAGGCCAATTGATATTACAGTCAATTGTATGGGCGTGACATATGTTACGAAGTCGATGTAACATACCCGGGGTGATCGATGATATATCGAGTTATTGACTGTTCGAAACAACCAGACTGACGATATTAGATTTTGGACAACATTAGGTTGCTTCGCCAGATCCATCAAACTGACGGGATTCGAGTTAACGGAGTTCGAATAAGCCATGTTTCAAGAAGACGTGTGCGTACGTAACATGCACATTCGGTTCCATTTCAATATCTAATTCTTAGACTATTTTCCTTGAGTCTCGAAACACAAATTGATCTCCGCTGTCCAGCGTTTAATGGGTATCGATAATATCTGATCAGAAACATCTATTCACCTGGACGCAGATACAAAATAACAGCCGTGGCCGTAGTATTTTTCTGTACACAGTATCAGCATGACAGTTTATGTGAGGAGAAATATAGGAAGGACCTTCCAGTTCAATAAATATTGTTTGAACGGGTGTACATGTAGGTGTTGTTGTTGTTCTGTGAGTTTAAATCAATATGTGCATATATTTATACTCTGCGTTGCCTCACATGTCTGGTGAGCCTGGTCATACATAGCAGCCCGACATCACATGATGCACACGTGTCTTTGTCTCTAGCACGTGTTGTCACCTACAAATGTACATGTAGGGCACCCGTTCTCAAGGAAACATCCGAAAATTTGTCTTTGTGCTCATTTTCATCAATTATACGATCATCATGTGTGTAATACATGTCTGTGATTCTTTCTTTACGTTTAACTGCCATAACTGATCCACTGATGTATAATTGTCTTTTTATTATACTGCTGCAGTGGTCAGTATTTGAGATCGCTTAATTCGAAGTCGTATTAGCGGAGTTAATCCAACATCAGTTTTATGTGAAAGACATGCACAACGTGTAACATGAATGATATACGTCCAATAGCAAACATGTATAGGGCGGGTATGGGAAGTACGGTCTAATGCGTCCCTAAACAGAAGCCTACAGGCGTGGGTTCGAATCCCTGTCCGCCCAGGTTATGTTACAAGTTAGTCCCCAAAGTGGTCAATGTCTAGAGCCTGTATATGTTTGTTCTCATGGACCGGAAATTCGGTCAAATCATTGTACAGCTCCGCATTTGTTGATTCTGTTGAAACTAAAAGTCATATGTTAATTTTGAATTACGTCAGCTGTGTACAAGTGGAGACTTCCTGCTGCTTATGACCAAAGGAAAAACGTAGAAGAAATATTTTCGTTTTGAAGCACAGTTGGGTGCAGTCTTAATGTCTCGTCCCGAACATTTCTTTTGTAGTTGACTCAGAATAATTGATAAGGCTCCCGAGCTAATGATGAAACGCGGGGACGTCAGTTCACCAGATGAAACGCCGACCCAATTCAAACCAACATGGCTTGAGCGATGAGCATCATAAATCTGACAAAGTGATTACTCCTAGTTGTAAGAGCAGGACGATCTGTAATTACTGTACCAAAAGGGCCACGTAAACTAAAATTGTTATTCTCTACATCAAATTACAAGAGTTCAAGAAAATAAAATAATCGTCCTGACTAGGAATGTGTGATGTGTCAACATTATGACTAGCTGTGTGTGTGTGTTGTGTGAGTGTGTGTGTGTGAGAAAACATTTTCGACCAACAGTGTGTGAGTGTGAACACTTATGAGGAAGAGGTGTATGTATTTGTGACTCTCTTGTGTGTATGTGTGACACTCGTGTGTGTGTGTGTGAGAGAGAGACACTCTCGTGTGTGTGTGTGTGTGTGTGTGTGTGTGTGTGTGTGTGTGTGTGTGTGTGTGTGTGACACTCGTGTGTGTATGTGTAATTGCCCATTTCGTGTAATGAACATCTCTCTTGCAAATTTCATAAACAGATTTCTCGCCTATTTCATGACATAAGCCCTTGTCAAGTATAAGTGTTATAATCTTAATCAAAGTACTATTACTAAAGACAGATGCATCATATAAGCTAAGTAAACTTGTCGATTTTGCTTGTATCAAATATTACATTTCTGGTATATAAAGGGTATGTGTGGTTTAACACAAACCGAATTATCTGTTTGATTGGCACATACGAATCTGATGAGTATGTTGTATGTTAATGGTTTGGTATGGCTAAAAACAAGTGACTATATATTCCGGAAGGATGCGTTGTCAGCCAGTTGATAATTTACCAGTCAGACTAAATAGTACTCTCCTCCCCTCGAACTTAGTGCATATTTTACGTACGCTTCTCTCAGTTGTTGCGCCCGTGACCTGTGATTGCAGTGGGTATTATACTATTGGAGATCAATGATATATGTTTTCCGTGATTATATTGGAGATATACCAGCCTATCTATAGAAGCCCTGACCCCAGTCTGGCATTCACTACGTACATGTAACTGTTCACCCAAACAATGGGAGAAAGTTGAAAAGCGCATGTGTGACAGGAAAGAACACCTTAGTTAAACTGTATTCCCGGTAATAGTTTACGATATAATCGCCGTAAAAACAAGTACTGTTGCAGCGGTACGGGTAATTTGTATGAGGATATTCATGCATCGGGCCAAAAGACTGGCTACAAAGCATCTAAAACGGAATTCTATTCCCAGCTTTCAGTAGAGACAGAGCACCGGGGGATATAAACCATCTGCTGAGCGTTGAAATTCAACATGGACAACATCCCCAAATTCGAGAATACAAATCTGACATTTTTTAAACAACGGAGTTGCAACATCACACGCTCAAAGGCAATATGTGTGTGGTCCCACTTTAAGAGGGAAAACGATCCACAGAGGCGGATACAGCTTTTTGAGATTTTTCATCGACCACCAAGATGCCTCCTTTGTATAGGGGTATAGTTGATGGATGCCGGTACCAATCCCAGACTCGCTCAGATGCCCAGGTTTATATTTACATATAAAGTGAGTGAGTGGCACAAATCAGTCTTCCGTTGTAGTGAGGGGTGGGTTCACGTATAGAAGTTTAGGAGAGGAAGGAAGAGGGCTCTCGTCAATTTGCACGTATACTTTTGGTTCTATTGCGCAGCGAGTTTTCTCTAAAAGCTAGGGTGTTCTCTCATTTTAGCCGTGTCATTAGTCAAACACAAAATGTAAGAAGATCTCCAGAAGGATATGGACATTATCTCACTTCGACTTTTGTCAACAACTCAGTAAAAGCGATTCAACTCGTCGACACGTAGACGCTGTGCTGCTGCTGCTGCTGCTGCTGCTCGATCCCAGGATGAAGAAAGGTGTTGTCACAGGGTCAATTAAATTAGGAGACAAGGAATTGAAGACCTTTCCTCCTTCTGACCTTTTATTTGATTATCTTGAAAATGTGATAAACGGCTCGGTGATGGCACCTCTATCTACGTCGCAACATATATATTTCAACACGTCAATAAATTTCAATTCGGAAGTGAAAACACCTATTCTATCTGTTTTGAATAAGAAATCAAGTCCTAGTGATGTGTCAATGACTCGTCGGCGGACACTAACTATCAACTTCACCTATTCCGACGAGGTGGAGACGAACCCAGTACTCATATGTGATCAGCGATCACTCTATCAACTGAACTACCTGTAATGTCACGTCAGATCAACAATGATAATGATCTACGACACATAACATCCCTTCATGGACAACTAGTGCGGCGAGGTAGCCTTGTGGGTAAAGCGTTGGCTTGCCATACCGACGGACCGGGTTCCATGCTTTTCATTGGTTCGGTGCTGGAAGCCCATTTCTGTTGTCGTATGCCCTTTAAAGTGTACCTATATTTCTAAACAAATGTATGTATGTTGTATATGGGCCTGTGGCCTACATACGGAATAAAATACTTGACTTGACTTGACTTGTTGTCCCCCTCTGATCATATCAGGAAATGGTGGACACAGTGGTCTACATGCATTGTACCCACAGGAAATAAAACTCGGGAACCGCCTCTGTTGTTTTATCGATAGAGGTCAGTTGTTCGATCTCCTGTCTTCTTCAAACATATAGACAAACAAATAGCAAAATTGTTGTATAAGTGAAGAAATCTTGAACCACATTTTACATCAGCTCATCGCCTAAGGTCTGCGGCATGACGAGGTAGTGCTGTGATAAGGCTACCTAGCCGTCCTATACTGACTTTTCTTGATAATTGTTTTAGTTAATATTGTTTAAATTCCACTAATACAATTCCTATCCCATCTCGTCCGGGTGTCCTTGACAATCCAATGTGTTATGTCGCCGTTTCTTATGACATCATTAACACAATAGCTTCGTGATTAGTCCAGTCCACAAAGGGCGGATTTCAGCCAATGAAATTGCAAACATTTGCGAGAGAACGTCGGCGCGATTTCCCTGCTTGACGAGGAGACAATGACGTCCCATCTTGAATGAATGTATGGTGGCGAATGTTGTGTTTGTTTGTTGTGTAAC